GGGAGAAACTTGGGTGGGGGGAGCCCGGCGCAGATGGGGAGAAAGCAGGGTTGGGGGACCAAGAGCAGGCTGGTGGTCACACCCGGGTGAAGGGATGACGGAGGCGCTAGGGGAAGATGCTGCGCCTCACAGTCCCTTCTCTCCCCACACCGCTCCAGGGCACGATCGGGAGTCCAACTTTCAGAAGAGAGACTCCCCAGCAAGCCCGCTTGGAGGGTCCCCCCCGGCTGCTCACCTCATGGGCCAGACGGCCCTTGCAAGGGGCAGCAGCAGCACCCCCACCTCGCAGGCTCTGTACCCTGACTTCTCTCCTCCCGAGGGCCTGGAGGAGCTCCTGTCTGCTCCCCCTCCTGACCTAGGGGCCCAGCGACACCACGGCTGGAACCCCAAGGATTGCTCCGAGAACATCGACGTCAAGGAAGGGGGGCTGTGCTTTGAGCGGCGCCCCGTGGCCCAAAGCACTGATGGAGTCCGGGGAAAGAGGGGTTACTCGAGGGGCCTGCATGCCTGGGAGATCAGCTGGCCCCTGGAGCAGAGGGGCACACACGCCGTGGTGGGCGTGGCCACCGCCCTCGCCCCGCTGCAGGTCGACCACTATGCGGCGCTTTTGGGCAGCAACAGCGAGTCCTGGGGCTGGGATATTGGGCGGGGAAAATTGTATCATCAGAGTAAGGGCATTGAGGCCCCCCAGTACCCAGCTGGACCTCAGGGTGAGCAGCTAGTGGTGCCAGAGAGACTGTTGGTGGTTCTCGACATGGAGGAGGGGACTCTGGGCTACTCTGTTGGGGGCACCTACCTGGGACCGGCCTTCCGTGGACTGAAGGGCAGGACCCTCTATCCCTGTGTAAGCGCTGTTTGGGGCCAGTGCCAGGTCCGCATCCGCTACATGGGCCAAAGAAGAGGTGAGACCTGGAGTAGGTGTGGGGAGAGAATTACCACTCTGGGCAAATGGTTTGGGATGGAAACTCATGCTTGGCCCACAGGAAAGGGGGCTTCATATCACTTTGGCTTGCCACTTAGATGGCTTTGGCTCTAGCTTCGCTCCCGGGCCTTAACTGGATGTGTGATGCAGAAATTCTGAGCCTTAGATCTCCCTGAGCTGTGAGGCAGATGGAGGAAAAGAATCGGGGAGCCTGAGTTTGAGGATGTCTGGCTGGAGTTGTGCCTCTACTGACCTTGCCTTCCTTTTCTCTCAGCCGAGGAACCACAATCCCTTCTGCATCTGAGTCGTCTGTGTGTGCGCCATGCGCTGGGAGATACCCGGCTTGGCCAAATATCCACTCTGCCTTTGCCCCCTGCCATGAAGCGCTACCTGCTCTACAAATGACCCTGAAGCACCAGATGGTACAGGCACCTGGTCATCCTCAGTACCGTGGGGACAGGTGGAGAGGCACCATCGATTGGCCTAGACAAAACCAGTGAAGCTGAGGGGAGAAGAGGCTGGACCCCTTCACTAACCCTTATAGAGGGGCGAGACGTGGAAGTGAAATTAAAGGCTGTGGCAGCCTGGTGCAAAAGATGTTTTTCAAGTAAAAACTGAGATGTATTGTCACAGCCTGTTTTGTTTTTGTTATGCCACCTTCCCCGTGAAAACATGCAATGAAGATGACAAACTACAAAGCTTGGGGCCAGGTGTTTATTTCCTTTACATGTAAGATGGTTCACAAACACAGTACTAGGGCTTCGGCATTGTGGGAGATGGGACACCCCTGGCCTCTCAGAGCAAGAGGACGTTGGCCTAAGTGTACACTGAGAAGGAAAAGGAAGGTGGTTTTACTCTCCTGCCCTGGTGAGGACCTGAAGGGACAGTCAGTTGCGCTTCTTCCGCTCCGCCAGCCAGGAAGCCACTTTGGTGAAATAGGTGACATTATTTCATTCATTGTAAGTGGTAAAGGGATTGGCCTGGTCCCAACCTTTATAGGGAGGTGTCAAAGGTGTAGGAAGGTACAGTGTGGATTAGCAAACAAGATGGGGCGATGACATCAGAAGCATGTGACTTGTGGGAGCAGTTCCTAAGCTCCTGGGCAACCTAATCCTGGCCTAGCGGAGGGTAGGGAAGATGCTGGTGTTTAACATTTGGCATTGATGATGTCCACAAACTCAGGCTTGAGGGAAGCACCACCCACAAGGAAGCCGTCCACATCAGGCTGGCTTGCCAGCTCTTTGCAGGTTGCTCCAGTCACAGAACCTGTAACATTAACAGGAAGATGGTTTGGTCAGGGATAGGATTAGTCCACTGAGGCCCCAGTCTCTGTGGGGCCTCAGTCTATCTTAGCCCACTTCCACCTTGGCTGGAGCCAAACCCCCTCACCTCCATAAATGATTCGGGTGCTTTGAGCCACTGCATCAGAGACATTGGATTTCAGCCATCCCCGAAGCTTCTCGTGTACTTCCTGGGCCTAGAAAGAAGAGGTACACTAAGTAAGACCTTTCCTGTTCATTCAAAGAGAACAAGCAACCCATTGGTGCTTGTATGGAGGGTTTAGTTTCTGGAAAAGTCCTGGGATCAGAATAGCAAGGCTCCAATCCCAGACAGGGAAAACATCCTTGGCAAGTCACTTTTTTTGTTGAGTTGGGGACGGGGGGACGGGGGGATGGGGCCTCTGGGCAATTAGTTACATGTTGAGGTGTTGCAGTCTTGCCAGTACCAATGGCCCATACAGGTTCATAGGCCAGGACAACTTTGTTCCAGTCCTTCACATTATCTGCAGGGTGGAGATCAGGGAGAAAACTGTGAAGAGGAAGGAGCTGCCCAGCTAAGCTCTCTAGGGTGTAACAGAAATGGCTTGCAATTCCTGGTGGGCTTTTTTTCTCCACCCATTTTTTTTTTTTAAACAATTTGTGTGTGTGTGCTCACGCGAGCGCTAAGGCAAACATACGGAGGACAGAGGACAACTTGCAGGAGTTGGTTCTCTCCTACCATGTGGGTTTGGAGGATCAAATAGGCTCTCAGGCTTGGCAATAAGCACCCTTACCCACAGAGCCATTTCACCAGCCCCTAGAGGCTTTTGAAGGTAGGGTTTCCACCTTCTGCAGAAACAGAAGTGACAAAGACTATGCAAGTTGCCCTCTCTTTTCCTGGCTCAACATATCAGGTAGGCTGCAGGGTTTTTGACCTCCCCACCCCATCTCTGTGGCCCTTGCTAGGCTCAAAGGTCCCTTTCTCCTGAGATACCTGCGATGGCCTTGGTTTGCTCGAAAACAACCTTGTCGGTGGTGCCGGCCTCCCTTTCATCTAGCTTCTCCCCAATGCAGGCGATCACTCCAAGGCCCTCGGATAGGGCATGGGCCACTTTCTGTCCAATCAACTGGCAAAGAACAAATACAGTGAGCCACCCCCTTCGGATGAAAGCATCTCCCAACTCCTCCTCTGCTTACTGACCTCATCGGACTCCCCAAAGATGTGCCTTCTCTCCGAGTGCCCTAGCACTACCCATTCGGCTCCTAAGTCTTTGATCATGCCAGGGCTAAAACATAAACACCAAGGTTCAGCAAGGGTCCACAAGGAAGGTTCCCTCTACATCCCTCTCTGCCTCCATCTCACCTGATCTCCCCAGTGAAGGCCCCACTGTTCACTTTGTAGCAGTTCTGTGCAGCCACAGCAATCTTGGGATCTAGCTTCTGCCTGACAAAATCGATGTAGGCGGCGGGGGGCGCACAAACCACCTCTGAGAATGAGATCAAAGAAAGCCGTTACTCTCCAGGCTTGCTCTCACGCCTTCACTTTCTTGGTTCTGTTTTCCTCGATTTTTCACTTCAGAAGGATGACCTTTGTTCACTGCACAGCCCCGGCTGGGCCTGTACCAATTCCATAGCCTTCTGAATGCTCATGATAGGCCAAGGCCCTTACCCTGTCCTCTGCTCTTGTAACAGCTGTGGCTCTAATTTCCTCAGGCTATTCCGGGAATGGGAACCTCCTAGACTCAGCACTCTCCGGGGGCCAACCTTTTCTAAAATAGCCCATCCACACTTCTCCAACCCAGCAAGGATTTTTCGCTTCAGGAGAATAGGCCAGGTACTGGAGTCTGTATTGGGCTCCTTAGGAAATAAATCAGCAGACAATACCCTTTGGTTACTCTCAAGGTTCTCTGATTTAGGTGGGTAGGAGGGGGAAGGATGGAGAACAGTGTGAGTGAGCAGCAGGGGGAGTTGTCTAGCTCGCAGAGACCTCGTGTTTTCCTATTTCCAGGCGGAGGAGAGCTGTAGGATAGCTCTTCATTCCCAAACGGCTCGGCATGTTTGGCGCCTGCTCAGTCCCTAAGGCGAAAGGCAGGGGTGGCCCAGGCTGTGGAGGGGTAGGGATGTAGGAGCCCCCAGCTCAGAGGCCGAAGCTAGCGGCGGCGCGGGGAGGAGTTTCGGGCTACGTGCAGAGACGCACGGATCTGGAGACCGAGGGGGCAGGTAGCCGTGAGACCATGAGACCGCGCAAGCTCAGCTTCCTCCCCCATACTCTGAGGCACGTGCCGATTATCCACTCGGACACTGGTTCCGCTTCTTAACCGTGGCTCCCTCCTAGGTGGTGCAGCCCCAGTCCATTCCTGGAGGTGACCTTCCGCCCAGCCCCCACCCACGAAGCCCTTTCCTGCCCCACAGGCCCGGGGCATCATTTAAATGCCTTTCCACCCCAGTACATCTCTATG